GTCGTTGGTTTACCATCGCTGGCGCTCTCTCCGACATCGCGACTGATCACAGTGCTCAGTTTTAATCTAACATTGTCCGGTCTTCCGTCTATTTTTTAGCACGACAGTCTATCACCCAGCTGCCACCGGATTAGTGGAAAGATTTCCCACCAACTGAAGGCCTCCCTACACGTCGCAGATGATCCGGAGAACTTCCTCTTGTCCTCTGCTCCACTCTAAAATCCGACCTTGCCTGCTTCGCCGCTGAACTGTTCTTCGGTGTCACTGTGCGAATTCTTTGTAAACAGAATTCGCCTTTCTCTCAAGCTGTGAGTGAGGTGCCTACCAAACTCCCGCATAACCCCCGGAAGTTTTTGCGGTCCCGCCCAGATCCGCTATCTCCTAGTCTTATCTCGAAAAAGTTGGTCATATTCCCGAATTGGTCTGTTCACATCAGTTGCGTATCTCCTCGATACTGTGCTCTGGTTTTTCTCCATGCTTGTTTCAAAACGACATTTCCTTGACGTCTTGCATTTCAGTTATCTGTAAGTGGTAGCAGTTAATCCACTGAGTCATTTTGCACAACCCCATCTATATCCTTAAACAGGTGACGCATAAACAAAGTGCACACATGAACTTACATGGTGATCGACTTTCTGTTTAACCTTGAGGGCCCTATCAGTGCTACGATGAAGAACCTGACTACGCGTGCCACAAATGTCCGTGCCGCTTATAGCGGGCCAAGATTTTACAACTGGGAGTGTCAAAGAGGCCGCATTCAGAAGGCTTTAGTGAAGTCCGTCTCGTGCCATGAGAGGAAGTGCGACTGTCAGCTGACGGTCTTTCGAACCACGGCATCTAGCGCACTGTGATGGATTGTTCCAATTGAGGAATATATGTTGAGAGTTGAACTCCCCGTCTTTCCCCTCATTGAGACACTAGTCTATTTTTGAAGCCGGCCACCAGTTTGGCATCTGCATCGCCACAAGCCGGCATCCTCGCTACGCGCAGTATTACCACGAACAAAGGATCCCATACCCAGGGAACATCAAAACAACGCCATTTACCGTGTCCCGTGCTCAAATTGTCGTAGTTTTTATATCGGTCACATGAGTCGAAAATTTGCAACTCGTGTGAGCGAACACAAGCTAGCCATCCACAGCCGAGACCTCCTATCTCTTGTGCTTGCGCACACTCTTGACTGTGATCGTCGTTCCAATTGGGAAAGCACTGAATTGGTCGCGATGGCTAACACTAAACAGGCATGAGAATTCATCAAATAGGCCCCTAAAGACAGTCCAGCCAAATGTTATTCTAATATCTTGTTTATTCGAGACTCGATAGCTCTAGCTTGTTTAGCCACTCAAATCCTCTGGGCGTGGGAATTAAACTATAAATATGACGGCCAAACGTAGATCGTCAAACAGAGACTAAACTAAACGTATTCTCATCACGCTCGAATGGTATAATATATACAAATTTAAGTCCCTACATCGGAAAAGTATTTTCCCCTCTCCATCCTTGCACATGCAGGGGGATAGAGCCCGGCGAGGAATGAAGAGGAGTTACTCTCGTCATATCGTTGCAGTGGCTCATGCCTGCCAGTAAGTTAAACGGCCGTAAAAACAATAAACAAAATTGTGTGATGATCTAGATGCTGCACAGAATGAGGAGCAACCAACCGACCTACTAGCGGCAGACGCAGAAAAGACAAAACAGAGTCATGCTTAAGAAATACACTGTAAGCCAAAATAAGCAAAAAAAGTACAGACAAAATCACAGGTGAAAAGGGGAATATGGAGCTGGGTCATAGTCGGCCACCAATTGCGATGCAGAGCGAGGCAGTGGAAATTTCAAATAGACGGGTTACTGCCAGACTTTGTTGTACAGCAAACAGCATCAACGACCTAAAAGAGAAGGCATCGAGATTACCAATTTACCAGACGAAAAGGACGTCAAAAACACTCGAAATGGACAGCAACGTACACTGTCGTCCATCAGTTCGGGTTCAATACACCTTTGGACGACGCTGCTCAGGACATCCTCGAGTACGGCCTGCAATTGCCTGCACAGGAAAGAACTTGGCATTAATAATTTTCGGCAAAAAAGCAACAGATAGGGCGACGGTAAATAACAGCACAAAAGGTTAACAGGAGCCAAACATCAAGAAACGTACTTTTCATCGCTCACGAATTTCCAGAGGTGAATATGTAGGAAATGACAGTCCACTTGTATTTGATGCAAACCAAATTTGCTGAACACTCGGGTTCGCGCACACTCGACGAATGCCTATGTCGAAATGGGAGACAGAGGAAGAGATAACAGTTTTTTTCAAAGGAGCAGTGCTACTTAAAATTGTTGAATACTATTGCAAGACAACGGTAGTTTACAGAAACGGTGGGCACAGGGGTTTTATAGGTGGGAATTAAGATAGGCAATGGGATATACCTTAATAACTGCTATATACATTTTTATTTTGTATTTAGAAATGCTGTTGATTTATATCCGTAGATTTTTCTAATCTGCATTATCGTTTAAGGTATTGCGGACAACCCCAATTATCAAAATACAGATTTCTTGAAATTCCTGGAAAAAAAGAAATGGTAATTAGGAGGTCGTCCACTTCAACTTACCTGAAGTCCAACTTACCGCGCACTCCTTCAATTTACATGCGGAACAACTTACTCCTAGCGGCCGCGGGAAACAAATTAATCTACATTTTTCCACTTTAAACTAACTTCTACAAATTTACTTCACTGCTTATCCTATTTCTCCACCCCCAAACCACCTATAACCACCGTTTTCGTAGGAAAAGAATGCTGGGACGAGGGGTATATGAGGCGCAATACTTAAACTACTTTTTTTTCCTACTGCAATCATGAAAAGGTTTAAAAATGCGTCTAGATACGTATACAACACACCACCATACAAATAATAGGGTTTTCAAAGGCACTGCCTATAACCCTCACCGAATAAACTGAAACGAAGGGTCCGAAGCAGTAGGAAAGGGCATGTAAGAACGCTTAATTCGAGCCCACTAACCAGTCGATCTCAGGCGCACTGTTTATAACTCCACGGTTGGCCACTGTTACGAGCCACCCTAACAGACACACGAACAGGCCGCCATAGCTAGTCGCACTCACAGCAGGCTATCGATCCGCCTACATGCAGCGCACGTGATGATGTAGCGCAAAGATGCGGCCAGGCTTAGGACTCTGACAAGCCAGCCGGATGAGTCACAAGCCAATCGAGTCGACCGAGGACACTATCTGATTGGTCCGAGGGACGTGGCTGTAGACGCGTCTGCTTGCCTTAAGGATGTTGTAGTAAGCACGCTCAAAGACTTCTACTTCTGAGCTCTTCCACGGGGACTCACACAAGGCGTTATTAGAAAGTGACATCTCGGCGTTCGGCCACATTACAACAGGCCACACTCTGCCCTATGGCATTTCTGCATGCCACATACATCGCTATGTCCCTTAAGGCTTACTACTGGTGCTGTCAATTGCGCCCACTACATGCGTTGCTCGCAATCAGCATGTTTTACATTGGTAAGAAGTGGTTCTAAAAATCTCAGGACAGGTAGGAACGAGAGATACAATCCCAAAACAAGAAAAGCAAGTTTAGTAAGCATGTCACCCAAATTTTACGTACCTTGAGCCCAATTTTGATAACTCCAAAGAGGATGGACTCGCGAGTGGCCTCCACAGGCGCGAAGATGTCAGTGCGCTGAAAGAAGAGGCGACGCAACTGATACGCCAAGGTATGATCTAGTTCCAAATTCTTCACCGAGGATCCACCGCCAGTTTCGGAAGCATGCTGGCTGCCGCGTAGGCCGGTGGGCTGGAAACTGCTGTGCCAAGAACGGAAGTCGCTGCTGCCCCGATCTCTCGGCCGGTGTTTGGCAGGCAGAAGTTGACTGACCTATGTGGGGGATAGTGGGCAAGGTTTCCTGATGAATTGGCGGCAACAGTAGCTTATGTAGCCCAACTCATTTATCCCTACAACCTGCGTGTTTTCCTACGAAAACGGCGCTTGTGGGCGGGAAATTAGGACACGCAGTGGAAAATG